GTATATCAAGAGGAGATGTTCCAGCAGCACCTTTTAGCCTCTGTTTTTAAGTTAAATCTGGGAAAAGATTGAGGGAATTCTAGAAATATGAGTCAGTAATCTTTATAGTGATTAAAATTTGAGAGAGAGTGTGTGTATGTGGTGTGTGTGTGTGTGTGTGTGTGTGTGTGTGGTGTGTGTGTGTATGGTGAGAACAAAGGAGAGGAAGGAGGGGGCACGGAAGATTAGTATCAAAAAATTAAGAGAGAAATTGGGAATTTTTTTCATATAGTGGAGCACTTATAGGTCTTAAAACTTTTTCAACTGACAGAAAGCTGGGAAGATTACTAAATCAGGTTTATATTTGCAAACTATTGAGTTTAATTCCTATGCTTATTTGTAAATATATTCTCTGTGTCCATTTGTCCAAATGATACATTCAGTACAAGGAAGCTGTATGATTTCATTCACAGAATAAACGTATCATAGTCTGTCACAATCTTAAGATTCTCTAGTCTGACCATCATCCCCATGAAGTTTTCATTCATTTCAAACCTTCAAGAAGGAGAAATGTGCCCCCTCAGTGGCAACTGGGACATCACTGGAAAGCTTGGACTATGTAAAATAGAGTTGAAATCTGCCTGTAACAATCATTTATTTATACCAGTTGAGCATTTAGAAATAAAAACAGAGTAGGATAATCCCTTTTCATAATAGAGTCCTGAGATACTTGAAGCTTTCTACCAGTCAAACCAACTTCCATCCTTCTCTTCCCTCTCCTTCCTGTCTCCTCTCCCCTAGGCTAAAAATATTCATTTTATTTTCCCATTCTTTGTGCGACATGCTTGGAAGTTCTTCAGTTGACGCCCCCCTCAAAAATACTCAGTGGGCCTATATCCTTCTTCATTTTTATACTTAAGACACAATATTTCAAGAGTCATTCATTTATTCATTCAGTTAAGAAAATGTTCACTGAACACTCAGTCAGGGCCTCCTGGTCGATACTGAGCATAAAGCAGTGAATACAATGGATTAAAATACTTATCCTCAGGGAACTTAAATTTAAGTGGAGAAGACAGAAAATATATGAGATAAATAATATAAAGTACCTTAAAGAGTGATAAGTGTTTGGGAGAGAAAAATAAACCAGGACAGAGATATAAGATGTAGGTGGGGGGAATGGTGTTATAGTCATTGGCTGAGGTGACCAGGGGAGTCAACTGACTGCTAGGATATAAGGGTACATCACCGTAGCCAGTGACTAATTCACCAAATTAAACTAGTATCTGAACCTTATTATTCCAGACTGTCTGAAAAACATTCTGATCAAATCATGAGCAATATAAACCCTCTTGTGTAAGCCCAGATGATCTACCAGGATTAAGAGTGGTCTATAAGGTTAATAGTGGTATCCAAGGAGGAAATGTGGTAGTATTTGCTTTTTTGATCAGTCACTCAGAATGCACCAGGAATCAACCACAGCTCACCTCTCTTCAAATTTTGAAATTCACTATTTGGGCTCTTTCATCTAGTCCTAATCTTCTAATACTGCTCTTAGTACCCAGAGATCTCAATTGCAAATTATTTTCATAATGTGGTTTGAAATTCATCATTATCAGGAGATATACATTCATTTAGGTGTTGACCAAGAAAGTCTTTTTGGGGTTCAGTTTCTCCCTAATAGTGTTTAGTCTGAGTTTTGGAGGTTGAAAAATGTATCATTATTATATCATTAGCTCAAACTTATGGCCTTCTCTTGTTCCAAATAAAACCATAAGTTACTTTGGTATTTTAATTTTTTCTCAAATCTCAGCTCATTTGAGACCTTAATCTTTCTGATATGAGTCTATCTGGCCCTACCACTCTCATATTCAATGTTCATTTGTTCATTCATTTATTCATTCATTTGACAATACTTTTTGACTATTTGCTACATTGGCACTGCATTTATCAAGATGGAGAGTAAGATAGATATGGATACTTTTCAGCTGTACTTTTTTCTTTTAAAAATATCTGTAGCTACATTTTTCTTTCTACTTTTCTCCTTATTTTATCATTTTCAATTGCACTCAAAATTGCATTTTTGAGAACATCATAACACTTTTGAGTCATAATCTCTTTAGGAGTCTCATGCCATGAATAATGCATATCTTTTCTCTAAACATTTTGAAGACATTCACATGGAGTGTACAATTGATGCTGTCCTTGGAAAAAATAAAATTCAGGATAACATGGTCACTTTCTTTTAAAGTTCACTTTACTTTGACTTTACCAATCAACTCTTGTTGTCAGAACTAGGTCGAAGTGGTCATTTCCTCCCATTGTTTCCTTGTTGTTTTAGAGATTAAGTTTCATTAATGATATTCAAGCACCTGTTACATAGTTGGCTTTTAGCCAAATAAAATGTGTGGTCTATTCATGGATGGTTGAAGTCTCTTTCACTGCTGATAAAGACAGAAACCTCACCTGTCTTATTCACGTCTAATTCCTGCACCATGATGGGTGCTCCAAAAATGGCCACCATTATTTTTATTGCTACTCAGTGTTCTCTCTTCAGGAAATGAAGATTTCTATGCAGAGGTTAATGTTCTTGACCTTTAACCCTACTCCACTTCTCCTCTTAAAATCTGTTTCTTTTGAGAAAGACAAGTCCTCCTATCATCATGTTCCAAGCGAGAGGGTGAATGCATCACATCTTTGTGACTCAGTTTTTTATATTCTCAGTCATTCAACTAATATTTATTTAGTGCCTATATAAGAATAGCAATAATAGTAACTAAACTATTGAGCATTAACTGTGTGTCAGGCCCTTTTTAAAGCACTTTCCATGAATTAATGAATTTGATCTTTATAATCCAACTAAGACACAGAGATATTAACACATTTTTCTGGAGTCACGTAGATTTTAAGAGAAAGAGTGTGACAATATTCTGTGAAATAGAGATTTAGCAATGGACAAAAGTGTAGGTAGTTCTTTTTCTTGGGGAATTTACAGTTGAGGGAAGAAGGCAAATGGTAAATAAAGAAGATACTTTCAGATGTTAGGTACTATGAAGAAAAATAAACGTGGGAATGTGATAGAGAGTGACTGGGGGAGAATAACTTTTGTAAGATGGTCTGGGAAGTCCTCTCTGGAGAGGTGACTAACTGTGGATCAGCCAGAATGCTTTCAGCTATGAGTGACATAAAACTGAATATGAAATAGTTTAAAGAATAGAAGACATTGTTATCTTACATAAAAAAGATATCTTCAGGTAGCAGGGCTCTAGGATTAGTTAGTCAGAGGCCAGTGGGTGTAAGAGAACATCAGTTCTTACATGCCTCTCTATCTCAGTATGTGGACTATACCTTCTGTCTTGCTTGCGAGATGGTTGCATCACTTCTAGGCATTCCATCCTCACACACCTTAGGCAAAGTCTTTAAGTAAAAAGGGACTGTTTCTTCCCTTAAGTCTATTTTTTATCAGCAAGAAGCTCTCTGTTCCCAGCAGACTACACATTACATCTTATTGGCCAAAATTGTGTCACCTGCATAGGAAATGCAATTCCTATGACTGGCCTAGAGCCTAAGACTTAGCTTTTTTAAAAATTTTTTTATTAAGAGTCAGCCCCTGGAACTTGAGTTTGGGTCATTTTTCTTAAGTATAAGAATGACCAAAGAAGGTTAAACAACTAATTAATTAGGGACAAAAGAGGGGCTAGATTTGGATAAGCCACTCTCAGTACCTGTAATAAGCTGAGTCCTGAGTAATGAAGAGTCAACCACATGGAGATCTGAGGGAGGAATATTCCAGAGAAGGGAACAGCATATGCAAATCCTTGAGTGTGGGAACTAGCTCAGTATATTCAAAGAACAGAAAGACGCAGGGTTGGAGCACAGTGTTAGGAGAGGCAGGGGAAGGGGAGGAGGTGAGAAGTAAAATGGTATTATAGTGTTGAAGAATCCAGACTCAGGACTCTTTTTTTGAACCTAGCCTCTAGTGCCTCGGTTTAAATAACAGACCTGGCATTTATTATTTATTTGGCTTTGCACAAATTACCTAACTTATCTGTGCCTTGAGTTCTTAAAGTAGGTCTTTAAAGTAGGTGTAAATAAGAATACACAACTCATGGAATTACTGAAAGATGTAAAACAAGACATAAAAAACAATTAGACCAGGGCCTGGGATATATAAGTCCTCAACAAATGTTAGCCTTCATTATTATATCATTGGTTCAGAGTTCAGATCATGTAGGGTCTTGTAGACCATAGTAAGATATTTTGGTTTTATTCAAATTAAACTGTGAAGTCACTGGGGTGTTTTATGCAGGGAATGAGCTAACATGATCAGAAGTTTTAAAGAATAGTTTTCTTCTGCCATATATAGATTGGAGTATGGGACAGGGGTTGGGTAGATGCAGTATAGTTAGTAGGACTTTGTAGTAACTTAGATCAGGTAAGTTTGACTAGGGTGAAAGCATTGGAGGGGGGCAGGTAGAGCTAACAGAATTTGTTGACAGCTTATGTTTGAGTTTGTGGTTAAGGGATTCTGAATATTTGACTTAGAAAATTGGGGAAATGGTGATACTCTTTATTGAGACAGAGAAGGGGCCCATAGGATTCACAAAATTGCCAAAGGGATCTATGGAACAAAAAGATTAAGAATCTTGCTTTAAAGTTCTTTGTCCATGAATCTGTTTTTCCACTTTTCTTAAGACAATTTTTCTTTTATCTTTCCTATCTTCTTGGGAACTCACTTTCCCTCAATTTACATACTTGATCTGATAATAAAACAATTTGTGAAGATGATCTTTGTCAAACTGGTTTACCACAGAGCAGAAGTGAGAACGTAATGAATTTAACACTCGTTTGTTGAATATGTCCCAAGCCTTTTAAGGCCCAGCTGTTCAAGTTTAGCAAGTGACTCTCATGAAAAGTGATTTGTAGTTATTTTCATTTTTATTCCCCTTATCTTTTTTTCCCAGCTGTTTGAGCCTATTTTTCCTTAGGTGGAAAATGATTTTAATTTCTTTTGTTCCCAGAATCAACTTGAATGATGGACAGACCAGCCATTTCAGTGTAGCTCTATTGCTTTCCCTTGGCATGGTCCAGATGGCCTTCAATGATGGGTAGGTACATGTCCTGTGCCACATTGTCCCTAACAATGTCCTGTGAGGCTATAATCTATGTAGGCATCCAGCTTTACACATCTCATGGATTTTTCTTTCCTACCTATTTTACTGAAGATCAACAGCATCTAAAAAGGAAATTCACAGAGTTCTTGCAAATGACTCAAACCTTTTTGCATTTTGGTGACAACAATAACAACAAAACCAAAACCTTATAAATTATAATTGTTTATTGGCAAGGACCACTTTTGTGTTTGTTTGGCTCAGCAAGTACTGTAAAGAGGATATATATATATATATATATATATATATATATATATAAAATTGTTCAACATACTTAAAGATGATATCACTAATATGCCACTAGTATTTGAGCACTTAAATTATTTTTCCAGTCATGATCATTACGTGATCTAAACCATTCCTTTCCATATTTCTTCCTTATGGTGAAAATTACTACATCAGTCAGAACCTCTTTGGTTGCAAGATATAGAAATCCAACTTGAACTAGTTTTGGCAGGAAATCTAGGCTTAAGAATCAAAAGAAGAAATTTTGACAACGCAAGGAGCAATTCCAGGGGTCTTAAGTACTGACGTTTGAACCCTTTTTCTTTCCATCTCTCATCCCTTTTTTTTTTTCTCAGCAGAACATCTTCTCCCACTGACAGCTTGAAGGCTGTATCTTTCCAGTTTTAGCATCAGGAAGGAAAGGATTCTACCTCTCGGTTCCACAGGAAAAAATCTTAAAGAAGAGCAGTGGTCAGGTTAGGTCAGAAACCCAAAGAACGGTCAAATTGCCGTAACAAGGGAGTCAAGATTACAGAGTAAGACAGAGGCTCCCAGACCATGAACCTAGAGTGGCTGATGAGGCAGGTCCCCGAAAGAATGGGGAGATGCTGTTCTCACAGGGAGAGAAGGCTACTAGACAAAAACAACAACAGCAAAAACAACTGAAAAAATAAAGAGCAATTTTTTATTTCACTAAAAAATAATCCATTTGCAAGATGGCCAGTGAGAATTAGAAGTTAACTCAGCAACTAGGGAATAGAGATTTACTGGTTCACACCTCTTCTTAAGTTTTCAGTCCCAGACAGTTAAACTCATTGGGTGATTTTCTTAAAGAACTTAGATATCTAATTCACAATCAGCACTTTTCCAGCAATCAAATCCCATTGACTTGTCTTGCTTTCTTGATGTCTTTGTTTTAATTCAGAGAAGTCTATGGTTTCTTTTTTCTTGTGCTTCAGGGACTTTTCTTTCCAAGAAGTCTCCTAGTATATAACCTATCTGAACTGCTTTGGGGGTTAATCAGTATTTTCTTTGCATACTAGTAACTGGTGGATAGACTAGAACAGAATTACTTGGCATGAATAAGAGATGTGTCTAGAAGGGATTTTATTTATAGCTGAGGTAATCCCCAACTATAGACAATATGGGATTTAGAGAAGGTAAGTGATTTGCCCAAGGTCACATTGCTCATTATCAGAAAAACCAGTATTAAAATCCCAAGACCACCAGACTTCCCTAGCTTTGTGTCATTTCCATTGCATCAGGCATGGTGAAGAAAAAGTGAGAGTAAATTCAACAATAACAAACGTGAAGATCAGACTGGATCATCCCAGTTCACCTTGAAGAACACTTGCGGCCATTAGGACTTAAAATATATAGCTGGCCAGATAAGGAAGCAGCAAGATGTTTGCCTCCCTCCTACAGGACTCTCAATGTTGGGAATGTGGTGGGCAGCATGACAGAACTCTCAGAGGAGATAGATTCCTCTCTCTCCTTTCAACCCAGATCCAATCAGATTCTACTCATCGTCTGTCTCTCCGAGCAGCCCTGTTTTTGTTTTGCCACTGCTGTGGCTGCAGTTCTGGGCCCTCTCATTCTCCCTGCTCCCAACTGGCCTCCCTCCAGCCCATCATCACCATAGCGATCTGTCTAAAATGCAGATTGGTTCGCATTACGCTCCAGCTTAAAATAATTCGATGTCTACCCCTTCCTCCAAGCACACAGAATAGAGTTCACATCCTTGACCCCGACATTCCTCTCTGCTGTTTCAGTCTCAATTCCTGCCAACCTTGGTCCCTGATTAGATAAGATTTTGATCTACTTCATAATTAGAACTCCTGGAGGTTAGGGCTATGGAGCCTTTTTCGTCTTCACGTATCTAGTACTGCACAAATATTTATTGAACTGAATCTCTTTTGAATCCAGACTAGGTCTAAAAATCAGAAGAAAGAACCCACTTAGTGAATAAATCAATGATTTGTAGACAAAACTGTAACTGTAAGTCATTGCCCTTATATCTTACTTTCTTAGTCTTTGGAAGCTAGATTCATTGCTGTTGTAATATTATAAGTGGCTGATTAAGTAAATGGAATTTGAATTTTGCATTCTGATTTGCAGCTTGAGGGAATATCTTGGCTCTTAATGCAAGGCTAAATCCTGACTACATCTAGGCAAAGAATTTTTCTTGTTTTGTTTTTGATGCTCTGGGACTATTTTTTTTTTTTTTTTTAACATCTTTATTGGAGTATAATTGCTTTACAATGGTATGTTAGTTTCAGCTTCACAACAAAATGAATCAGTTATATATATACATATATTCCCATATCTCTTCCCGCTTGCGTCTCCCTCCCTCCCACCCTATCCCACCCCTCCAGGCGGTCACAAAGCACCGAGCTGATCTCCCTGTGCTATGCGGCTGCTTCCCACTAGCTATCTACCTTACGTTTGGTAGTGTATATATGTCCATGCCTCTTTATCGCTTTGTCACCGTTTACACTTCCCCCTCCCCATAGCCTCAAGTCCATTCTCTAGTAAGTCTGTGTCTTTATTCCTGTTTCACCCCTAGGTTTTTCATGACATTTTTTTTTTTTAAATTCCATATATATGTGTTAGCATACGGTATTTGTCTCTCTCTTTCTGACTTACTTCACTCTGTATGACAGACTCTAGGTCCATCCACCTCACTACAATTAGCTCAATTTCGTCTCTTTTTATGGCTGAGTAATATTCCATTGTATATATGTGCCACATCTTCTTTATCCATTCATCCGATGATGGACACTTAGGTTGTTTCCATCTCTGGGCTATTGTAAATAGAGCTGCAATGAACATTTTGGTACATGACTCTTTTTGAATTATGGTTTTCTCAGGGTATATGCCCAGTAGTGGGATTGCTGGGTCATATGGTAGTTCTATTTGTAGCTTTTTAAGGAACCTCCATACTGTTCTCCACAGTGGCTGTATCAATTTACATTCCCACCAACAGTGTAAGAGGGTTCCCTTTTCTCCACACCCTCTCCAGCATTTATTGTTTCTAGATTTTTTGATGATGGCCATTCTGACTGGTGTGAGATGATATCTCATTGTAGTTTTGATTTGCATTTCTCTCATGATTAGTGATGTTGAGCATTCTCTCATGTGTTTGTTGGCACTCTGTATATCTTCTTTGGAGAAATGTCTGTTTAGGTCTTCTGCCCATTTTTGGATTGGGTTGTTTGTTTTTTTGTTATTAAGCTGCATGAGCTGCTTATAAATTTTGGAGATCAGTCCTTTGTCAGTTGCTTCATTTGCAAATATTTTCTCCCATTCTGAGGGTTGTCTTTTGGTCTTCTTTATGGTTTCCTTTGCTGCGCAAAAGCTTTTAAGTTTCATTAGGTCCCATTTGTTTACTCTTGTTTTTATTTCCATTACTCTAGGAGGTGGGTCAGAAAGAATCTTGCTGTGATTTATGTCATAGAGTGTTCTGCCTATGTTTTCCTCTAAGAGTTTGATAGTTTCTGGCCTTACATTTAGGTCTTTAATCCATTTTGAGCTTAATTTTGTGTATGGTGTTAGGGAGTGATCTAACTTCATACTTTTACATGTAGCTGTCCAGTTTTCCCAGCACCACTTATTGAAGAGGCTGTCCTTTCTCTATGGTACATTTCTGCCTCCTTTGTCAAAGATAAGGTGACCATATGTGCGTGGGTTTATCTCTGGGCTTTCTATCCTGTTCCATTGATCTATCTTTCTGTTTTTGTGCCAGTACCATACCGTTTTGATAACTGTAGCTTTGTAGTATAGTCTGAAGTCTGGGAGCCTGATTCCTCCAGTTCCTTCTTTCGTTCTCAAGATTGCTTTGGCTATTCGGGGTCTTTTGTGTTTCCATACAAATTGCAAAATTTTTTGTTCTAGTTCTGTGAAAAATGCCAGTGGTAGTTTGATAGGGATTGCATTGAATCTATAGATTGCTTTCGGTAGTAGAGTCATTTTCACAATGTTGATTCTTCCAATCCAAGAACATGGTATATCTCTCCATCTATTTGTATCATCTTTAATTTCTTTCATCAGTGTCTTATAATTTTCTGCATACAGATCTTTTGTCTCCTTAGGTAGGTTTATTCCTAGATATTTTATTCTTTTTGTTGCAATGGTAAATGGGAGTGTTTTCTTGATTTCACTTTCAGATTTTTCATCATTAGTATATAGGAATGCCAGAGATTTCTGTGCATTAATTTTGTATCCTGCCACTTTACCAAATTCATTGATTAGCTCTAGTAGTTTTCTGGTAGCATCTTTAGGGTTCTCTATGTATAGGATCATGTCATCTGCAAACAGTGACAGCTTTACTTCTTCTTTTCCGATTTGGATTCCTTTTATTTCCTTTTCTTCTCTGATTGCTGTGGCTAAAACTTCCAAAACTATGTTGAATAAGAGTGGTGAGAGTGGGCAACCTTGTCTTGTTCCTGATCTTAGTGGAAATGCTTTCAGTTTTTCGCCATTGAGGATGATGTTTGCTGTGGGCTTGTCATATATGGCCTTTATTACGTTGAGGAAAGTTCCCTCTATGCCTACTTTCTGCAGGGTTTTTATCATAAATGGGTGTTGAATTTTGTCAAAAGCTTTCTCTGCATCTATTGAGATGATCATATGGTTTTTCTCCTTCAATTTGTTAATATGGTTTATCACATTGATAGATTTGCGTATATTGAAGAATCCTTGCATTCCTGGAA